AGAGAGAGAGAGAGAGAGAGAGAGAGAGAGAGAGAGAGAGAGAGGAAATTCCAAGCAGGCTCTGCACTGTCAGCACAGAGTCTGGCGTGGGGCTCAATCTCACTCATGAACTGTGAGATCGTGACCCAGGCTGAAATCAAGAGTCGGATGTTTTAACCGACTGAGCCACCTAGGCGCCCCCATGTCTTGACTATTGTAAGTAATGCTAAAATGAACATGGCGGTGCAGATACCTCTTAAAGATAGTAGTACCTTTGGATATATGCCTAGAAGCGGAATTGCTAGGCCATATGGTAGTTCTGTGTTTAATTTTTTGAAGAACTTCCATACTGTTTTCCATAGTGGCAGCACCATTTACATTCCCATCAACAGTGCACAAGGATTCCCTTTTGTCCACCTCCTTCCCAACACTTACTATCTTTTGTCTTTTTGATAATAAGCATCCTAAATAATAGGCATCCTAACAAGTGTGGGGTTATATCTCCTATGGTTTTCATTTGCATTTCCCTGTTGATTAGTGATGTGGAGCACTTTTTAATTTATCTGTTGGCCATTAAAAAAATGTGTTTTTATTTTTTTATTTTTAGAGAGAGAGAGAAGGTGCACTTGAGTGCGGGAGGGGCAGAGAGAGGAGAGGGAGAATACCAAGCCCTTTCATGGGGCTCGATCTCACAAACTGTGAGATGATCTGAGCCGAAATCAAGAGTCCAACACTTAACTGAGCTACTCAGGTGCCTCTTGTTGGCCATTTTTATGTTGTCTTTGGTTCCCCATTTTTAACCGACCGAACCATCCAGGCACCCCAGGTTCCCCATTTTTAATCAGATTATTGACTTTTGGCTATTGAGTTGTATGAGTTCCTTATATATTTTGGATATTAACCTCCTTTTTCAGATACCCGATTTGCAAATATTTTCTCCCATTCTGTAGGTTGCTTATTCATTTTGTTGATAGTTTCCTTTGCTGTGCAGAAGCTTTTTAGTTTGAAATAGGCCCCCACTTACTTATTTTTTGCTTTTTATACCTTTGCTTTTAGGGTCAAATCCAGAAAATCATTGCCAAGACCAATGTCAAGGTGCTTACCAACTATGTTTTCTTCTAGGAGGTCTGTGGTTTCAGGTCTTATGTTCAAGTCCTTAATCCATTTTGAGTTGATTTTCATGTATGATGGAAGATAGTGGTTTCATTCTTTTCATGTTGCTGACAGTTTTCCTAATACCATTTGTTGAAGAGACTACCCTTTTTTCAGTGTTGGCTCCTTTATTGTAAATTAATTGACCATTTTTGTGTGGGTTTATTTCCGGGCTCTTGATTTTATCCCATTGATCTATGTGTCTGTTTTTGTGCTACTACTATACATAGTTGATTACTATAGCTTTGTAATACAGTTTGAAATAAGGAAACATGGTGCCTCCAGCTTTGTTCTTTCTTCTCAAGATTGCTTTGGCTATTCTGTTTTTTTGCTTTTTTTTTTTTTTTTTTGATTCCATACAAATTTTAGGATTGTTCTATTTCTGGAATTTTTATACAGTTGCATTGGATCTGTAGATTGCTTTTGGTATATGGACATTTTAACAATATGAATTTAAAAAAAATTTTTTTTTAACGTTTATTTTTGAGACAGAGAGAGACAGAGCACGAACAGGGGAGGGTCAGAGAGAGGGAGACACAGAATCTGAAACAGGCTCCAGGCTCTGAGCTGTCAGCACAGAGCCCGACGTGGGGCTCGAACTCATGGACCGCGAGATCGTGACCTGAGCTGAAGTCGGCCGCTTAACTGACTAAGCTACCCAGGCGCCCCAACAATATGAATTTTGAACCCTGAAAATGAGATGTCTTTTATTGTGTCTTTAATTTTTTTCATCAATGTCATAAAGTTTTCCTTTTGCCTGTATATGCACTCTGGTGGCCTTTTTCCCTTTTTTTGCTGGGGAAGCCTGTCATATATCCACAGTTTAGTGTTCAGAAATTTTAATGGTGATATTGGATGCTGTTGACTTAATTGCTAGAGTAATGATATAGATTGCTGTCATATTGTTGAAAATTATCTTCCCAATCTTTGTTTTTCTTTGTAAAGTAGAAGCAACTGTAGAGTAAGAAGGGATTTAAGAGTTCTTTAAGTTACTTTTATTGTGATTGAGCAGGCATGTTTGCCCAGTTAGGGGCAGAGTAGGAATAACAGCCAAAGTTTCATTTTTCATGCCTTGGTATTTTGTAAGCTTTCTGTGCCCCAGTTTTGCAAGTCTCTATTTTAGATGTGTAAGAGTTGTTTTCATTTCAGTGTTTATACTTAATGATAGCTCCCCAAAAAGCAAGGTGATTTGAGAGCTCAAAATATGCTAACATATGTGAATAGATACTTGCTGCTGCCCAACAGTAACCCAAGTCTGTAATGTTTAATGTTCTAATAGATGGATATACATGGGGGAAGGTAACTTAAATATGTGAAATTTGTGAAAAAACCTCCATGTTGCCATCCTCCAACATCAATCATTATTACTTTGTCACTGTTCATTAGAAACACTTTTAATCCTGGCAATTTTTAGACTTTGTCTAAATGCAAAATAAGTGTAGGCATATTCTGAAGGACTTAATGGAAGCACTTTTATTTTTCTGCAGTGTTTCCTGAGGTTATAGGCGGGTGTTTGAGGAGTACATGCGGGTTATAAGCCAGCGGTACCCAGACATCCGCATTGAAGGAGAAAATTACCTCCCTCAACCCATATATAGGTAAGTAAATTTCAGTAACTTAAAAGTAATTTTTTTAATGAATTTTTTTTTCACTTCGGTGAGTAAACTTCTGTGAATTGGTTCAATTAATTGGTTATTATAACTTCTTAGTTGGTTATAATGTACAGAGAAACTCTTTTACAAATAGCAAGTTTATTTGATCCAAATTTAGAAGAATTTTACTGAAAGAAGGAAAAGAGGAGGATTTTTTCAGAGGTGGCAATCTTTTAAAGATGTGTTTTCTTATATAATTTTTATTTTGGAAATAAATGAAGAACACCCAAATTTTTATACAAAGTCAATGGTGTAAAATTCCGTGCTGTTAATAGGATTTTTAAAGGCTAATGCTGTATAATTTTACAAGTTAATTTTTTATTCATTTAAAGGATATTTAGTTTTGTTTTAAAACTCCACAATGAACTTTAGTTACTATCTTTTTCACTAGTTGTAATTAGTAAGTTCCAGATTTGGTGTCTAGAAAATGTCTGTATACATATACTTGAGTTAGGAAGTTTTTGAATTAGGTGAGAAATTGTGGCTTCTGATGAATTTATATATATTTTTTTCTTTTGATAGACACATAGCATCTTTCCTGTCAGTCTTCAAACTAGTATTAATAGGCTTAATAATTGTTGGCAAGGATCCTTTTGCTTTCTTTGGCATGCAAGCTCCTAGCATCTGGCAGTGGGGCCAAGAAAATAAGGTATGTAACTTAATAGTTTGGTAGCTGTAGGTTTTTAGGTTGTCAATGGAAATATTTTACTGGATTGTTGTGTACTTGTTGCTGATTCACCTGTCCACGTGTATTATTTCAGCTTCAATCATTTTTTAATCTTTGGGCAAGACACTTAACCGTTTTTGGACTTAGTTTTTTGTTTGTATTTGTTTTTCTTTTCTTGGCCTTCGTTTTTATGTTTATGTATTAAGAATGATTAGCTCTTATCTTTTTACTATTTTTTTTTAAAGTTTATTTATTTTGATGGCGGGAGAGGGGAAGGGTCAGGGACAAAGAGAGGGACAGAGAAAATCCCAAGCAGGCTCCGCACTGTCAGCACAGAGCCCCACACAGGGTTCTAACTCAAGAACTGTGAGATCATGACCTCAGCTGAAATCAAGAGTCGGACGCTTAACAGGTTGAGCTACCCAGGCGCCACATCTTTTTACTATTTGAAGGATAGTGAGGTGTGACTTTAGTAGAACCTGGGCACAAAATAATTTAATACCTGATATTGATTATATAGATTAGGTCAAATCATATACAAAAAACATAATATATATAGAATGGAAGGCTTTTATACCAAACAATATGGGTATTAATGGGTTTATTCACATTAAAAATGGGATTTCTGCTGATTTGTTCTTATTAAAATTTTCTGTTTTTATTACTTGTCCTTTGACTCTTCTGTTCAATCAGTATAAATAGACATACAAATCTTGTGCTGTCTCTTCTCCTTTGTAGGGTCTTGCTGTAGCATACGTTCTTTTTAGATATCTTTCATTTGTTTCACTTAAAATCATCTTTTTCTGGAGGGTCTTTCTGCTATGAGAAATACAGTTTTATTTCTCTCGGATGAGATTGCTTCTTAGGTTTCCTTCTGAGAAGTATTCTGGTTTCTGGTCTTATTCTTTAGTTCTAGGCTGAAACTACTTTTAGTGGACTCCTACATAGCTATGCTTTTTTTTTTTTTTTCCTTAGGAAAAAACTTATTTCCAGTAACAGGCAAGGCTTCTTAAAATAAACATCATCAGGTGCTACCTCTCACTGAACTGTGTCTCTACCCTGTCATTAGTAAGATTGCTATGCATAAGATTAAGAATTAGAAGTTAAGTACTCATGACGTTTTGTGTTACATTTATTAATTCTATTGATTCCATCTTTAGTGCATTTTACTTCTGAAGACATATAACATTATTGATCTATGGAAGAGGAATATACTTGAAAGCTGTAGTTTTCATGCAACTTCCTTGTGTATTGTTTGCATGAAAATAGACATTTCCAAATGCGAGAGTAACCTTTAAGAAATTAAAGCCTACCTAGTTCAAGTGGGACTGGGAGGAGAGCTCTTTCTCTTTTGCTATGAGCATTTTTATTAACTTTTTTTGAAACAACTTGTTGTGAATTGATATCTTCACTACATCCTGCTTTTTATCCTGCTTTTTAGTCAGGTGATTTTATTAAAACTTTTCTGTCCACCAGGGAACTTCTCTTTGGAAAGGGTATAGGTACACATTCAAAAGGGAAGTGAATGTAATTCAATATGCAAGTGCTTTCTCTTACCAATTTTTTTATTTGACTCAAAACGATTTGTTTGGAACGTGGACAGGTTGTATTGAATACGTGGAGTTGCTCTTTATTGCATCACTAGTCTCTTGTGAATTCATACCTTACATTATAAAAATGGTGAAATAAACCCTTCTTATGCTGGTATTTGTTTAACTTATTAAGGCTATTACGAGATCTTGAGAAATTCTGTCTCTACATTATGAATATATATTCTTGAGTGTGTATACGGCTGTGAATGAATGCATTTTTCTTATTCTGTATATGTTATCTGAACATATAGAAGAGCAATAATAGTCTGTATAGAAACTTTTAAAGTAGATTTAAAAACAATCATTATCAAATAAAAATGAGTCTGCATATTTAAAAGATTACTGTGTCTTCAGTTATAATATTGTTTTGTCTTTAAAATAACTTTGCCTGTTGTACTTAATTATATTTTCTTTTAGGTCTATGCATGTATGATGGTTTTCTTCTTGAGCAACATGATTGAGAACCAGTGTATGTCAACAGGTGCATTTGAGATAACTTTGAATGGTGGGTTCTGAGTAATTTGCATTTTGTAACACATTTTATTTTTTATTTTTTTAATTTTTTTTTAATGTTTATTTATTTTTGAGACAATGCGAGAGACAGAGTGCAAGCAGCGGAGGGGCAGACAGAGGGAGACACAGAATATGAAGTGGGCTCCAGGCTCTGAGCTGTTAGCCCAGAGCCCAACGCAGGTCTCGAACTCACGAACTGTGAGATCACGACCTGAGCCAAAGTCAGGCGCTTAACCGACTGAGCCACTCAGGCGCCCCGAATTTTGTAACACATTTTAAATGATTTGTAATGACCTTTAGGCTTTTCTGTTTTCCATAATATGCAAAATTATCACTTTCTATGGTCCTCATCTCCCCTGGCTTGAGAATTATATCCATATGATGACTCCTGAATGTACTCAACAGAGTTCTAGATCTTTCTTCTAGGTGCTATACTTGGGAATCTTAAACTCCTACTCCCAATCTATTGATTGCCTCTGCTTCCTGCAATTCTTATGTACTCCAATTTGCTCCTCCCATGGCATTTCTTGTTTATTTATAATGGCACCATTATCATTCTACCCAGTTACCGATGTCAGAATCCTAGGATAACCTCAGTTTCTCCCTTACTCTCCATATCTGATGGATTACTAAGTCTGATTCTTAATTCTGCTGTCTACATTTCTCAAAAATCTACTTCTCTTTATCTTTATTACCACCACTCTAGTCCACGCCATAATTATTTTGTTACCCTCTAATACATTCTCTAAACCAGAGGTTGTCATATATGACCTATGAGCCACAGTAGTTTTTACACTTTTTTAATGGTTCCAAAACATCAAAAGAATATTTTAGGGCACAAGGAAATTAAATGAAATTCAAAATTTAGTGTTTATTACCTAAAGTTTTGAGTTCCGTCAAAAAATTTGTGGAAATTTAGTTCTCTGGTTACCTTTGTGATTTCTTGGATTTTGCCTCTTGATCTGTAAAGCCTAAAACATTTATTTTCTGGCTTCTTACAAAAAAATCTGCTGATCCCTGTTCCAAACAGTGGGGTGATTTTTTTCTGTTTTTTAATGCACATCATTTTCGTCTCATTGCTTTACTGCCTCAAGTTCATTAAGTGGCTTTACTTTGTCCTCAAGATAAAGACCAGAACATTTAACATAGCCAAAAGGTCCTGCATGATGTAGACTAGGGATTAGCAAACCATGGCCATGTGCACTCTCTGTCCTGCCGCCTGTTTTTTAAATAAGATTTTATTGGAACACAACCATGCCCTTGTTTTGCCTGTTGCTTCTTTCAGACAACAATTAGAGTTGAGTAGCTGTGATAGACTATATGTCTTTGCAAGCCGAAAATGCTTGCTTCCTGGCTCTTTATAGTTTGTTGACTCTGATCTAGTCCCCATTCACCTATCCAGCCTCTCTTGTACCAGCACTCTTCTCCTGTGTTTCAGCTCTTACTTTTAATGATACCTTTCAATTTTAATAATACCTCTCACTTATAATAATAATTGCAAAGGCTCCTTTGTAGCCTCCCCTGTGTCCCTCAGCATCTTCTGCTTTTAATCTTAATACACAGTTGTGATTTGTAGCTATTTTGTATAGTACTTTCTATATTTCCCCTACTGAAATGTAAACTATACAACGGTGTAATTACAGAAATGTAATTCTGTGGTTCACTTCTGTATCCTTAGCTGTATATATAGACGATAAATATTTGTAGAATGAACACTTATTATAGACTCATCTTTAATTTTAGGGGGTGGTACTGTTTATTTTTATAGATGTGCCTGTGTGGTCCAAGCTGGAATCTGGTCACCTCCCATCCATGCAACAGCTTGTTCAAATTCTTGACAATGAAATGAAGCTCAATGTGCATATGGATTCAATCCCACATCACCGATCATAGCCCCACCTATCAGCACTGAAAACTCTTTTGTAAGTAGTTTAAAAATACAATAACTATTTATAGGTATCATTCTCATCACAAATCAGCAAGGTACTAGATATTCTAGTGTCTATTATCACTTGAGTTCCCAACTTAAGATTTAATAGATGGATGTTTTCTTTATTAAAATTGATTAAGTGATCAAGAGCATTTTGGACCTGCCAAAACAAGGTAAGGTTGTGCTAATAATTTTATCTTCAAGGCTTAAGAGCTGGGCCTGTAACGTCATTTTTTGGACTCTGAACTCCTACTAATGGTCAGAATTGGTATATTACGCTAGAATATTTATATACATATCTTCCCTTTACCTGCAACTAACGAGTTGCTAAGAGTGTGCAGATTCTTTTAACATGGTCAAGATAGAAAAGTTATAAGCAAATGTGTGTGAACACAGAGAGGTGAATATTAGTTAACTTTTGCTTAGCAGAGATGTTCTCTGTTCTCTTCTTATTAATAAGTTGATTTTATAAGAGTGAAGTTTGAAATAAAATACTCTTTTTTGTCTATGTCTTTCAGACATTAAGGGATTTTTTGCAAGAGCAGCGTGACTGACATTATGAAGGCCTGTACTGAAGACAGCAAGCTGTTAGTACAGACCAGATGCTTTCTTGGCAGGCTCGTTGTACCTCTTGGAAAACCTCAATGCAAGACAGTTTTTCAGTGCTGGCACATTTTGGAATTCTGCACATTCGTGGAGTGCAATAATACTGTATAGCTTTTTTTTCTTCCCCAAATTCACTCAGTTAATAGTTTTTAAAAAATGTAGACATTACTACTTGTACCTTTTTTTTCCTTAGTCATACTTGGAAAAGTAGAAAATTGAGTTACAATTTGACTTTTTTTCAAAGATGTCTGTTAAATCTGTTGTGATTTTATATGAATTTTCCTTTTTTATAGTTTAAAATTGATCTTTTTGGGAATACAGCTGAAGTTCCCAAAAACTTTATAAGAGTTTATCAGGCATCTTTAATTTGGTCATGTCCAATTTATATAGTTTTCAAAACACTGCAGATTGTGAACAGTGCATTATATGAGATAATGGGGGGAAATCCTATATCTAGAGTACTCTACCAATTTGTGTGTGTATGTGCGTGTGTGCGTGTGTGATTACCAGAGAATTACTAAAAGACCAACTGCTTTTTAAATACTGTTATGTAGTTCAAGTGTCTTGCCTTGACCAATCTAATGAGTTGATTAACTGGGCCTTTATACCTAACTCAATAAAAAACTAAGCGGATGTAAGTTAAATAAAAAGTTTGAATTTATTGCCCAGCGTACCTATTAACCTTATATTTAAAATTGTCTTCCTCAATTTTTGTTATTTCATAAGTAACACATTTTAGATTCACACACAGTAATAAGTCATTTACCATTTTTAGGATAACTGAAACTCATTTCAAAGTTCAGTTGAACTTCTTTACAACATTAATTTTAGGTGAATGGAGACTACTTGCCTAATAATTTAACTTGTTTACCATCATATATCAGAATTTTATTATATTTAAGGAACAAAATTGAAAAGTTTTTTATTCAGTGAATTTCATATCTTTCCAGAGTTCTAAAAAGATAGTTTTTTTTTTTAACAAAAAACGTAAACTGATGGACTGTAAAAGTAATTAAGTGGAAATAGGATCATAATGTATAAAAATAGTCCTATAGCAACAGTCTTAACATATTTTAGCATCCATATGGGAATAGGAATGATAGGTCTAGATTTGTTACTAGAAATAAAGTGATTTGAGGAAAAATTATGAGCTAATTCAACATTTGGTCTACCGAACACTTAGCACAATCTTATACTTCATTTATCACTGGATATTTGTTGAACTGATGTCTGGTAATCATCATGATTTTACAGCCTCAAGGTGGAATATACTGTAATCTCTAGCTAACAGGAAGTTAGTCTGATAATTCACTTCAGGAAATTGATTTAATGGCTTATCCTTTTAATTAAGACTGCAGAACTGTTAACCTAAGTTCCTATAATGGCAAGAGTCAATACAATTTAAGCTGGAAGTTACTAAGAGGTTATTATTCAGGTGTAATATCTTATCTTTGCCTAGGGCTTAAAACCTTGTTAACTTAATTAGTACTAGCCCAGACTTCCTGTCTCTTGTAAAGTGAACACAGTGCTCAGTGTGTTTAGGGTCTTTCCTCAGCTGATGGCCATTCCACTAGTGACAAGTTAACCTTTTGGCATTTAGACCTTCCAAACTCAAGCCTTGGGTATTCCCATGTATCTGACAGGTTAACCTTGAAGAACCTAGGATTAAATTTTAACTTTTTCTCATGTTTGTCTTGGGTGAATAATTTGTCTTTTGGAGAATAGCTTTAAGTGGCCTAGATGCTGATAAAACTCAGTGTCTTATTTTGTCGACACTCATCTCAATATTGTTTTATCTTTGACCGTATTTAAATCTAGGATTTAATAGTCTAGTGAAAAAATTAGTGGGAAGCATGAATATTGGAAAAGGGGAAAGTTAAAAAGAAAGTATTTAGAATTAGTTTATTATATTTCTAACATTTCAGAATTTATTAGTTGCTTACAAACTGGTGTGGCTGTGTTGTTTATAAATGTTTATGTACTATGTTAATTAGAAGACCATAGGACATTACAGCAGCTTGGCTAATGTTATTGGTGTGTTTACCACAGTTGCTCTTGTGGACGAAATTACTTGTTAGATTAATAAAAAAAAAATCTGTTGGCAAAATATGGCTTTATACCTCAGTATCAAGATATACAAAACATATACTTCAGAATATAAATACATTTTTTATGGCATTAACATTAATGACAGCAGTTGGTCAGCCTTTACCATTATCAAAGTCCAGCAGGAGTCCAATGATGATTCTTTCTTATTTTGAATGTTATTAGTTTGGGACCTTGATTGGTTGGTATTTTATCACTGTCATAATTTTAAATAATTCAGATTTTAAAACTAGCCTGCAGATTTCTAAAGCATGATTTGATGATATTCAATACTAGGGCTTTAAAAAAAATCTCTTGAGAGAAACGCGAGGGATTGTAAAGTTTAGTGACTTACTATGATAGCATTGTGAAAATAAACTTACGTTGAGCTGATGTGAAAGGAACCCCTCTTTTGTGGAATTAAATCTATGCTAGGACACTTCACATAACAACTGTATTTAGGACATTTTATTTTGTAAAAATTGTTGGTATCAAATAGCATGTTCTCTTTCTAATGCTTTTTTAACCCAGCCAGTGCTAACACTTCACCTCCTCCCTCTCGGTCTGGTACTCGAGTCTTCCTGCTCTTGGATTGTAAACTGCTTCTCAAGCCTTATGGTCCCTTTGTGTTTCAGTGTTGCTGAACTGACAACAGGTCTGTAGCGTGATTCTGTGCTGGGTTGGAGCAGAGAGCAGCAGTTTACGTCATTGTCCATCATTACCCCCAACCTCCAGAATTTCTGAGAAAGTAAAAGTGACATTCCCAAATCTGGAGAAAAATAATATGAGGACGTCCCCTCTTGACCGATAGAGGCAATTTAATGATCTCACAAGAGGAAACAAAGTGCAGATATTTTTAAAAAATTCTGGTGAGCCTCTCCATTCCATGGTCCTGGGCTCTTTTTCCCTAGGCTTCAGAAAAGCGAATAGATGTGGACTTAGTTCCAAACTGTATCTTGAAGAAAAATATAAACTGGTCTCAGAGTGGGAAGAGTGTTAAGTTGCCTGCTCTCTATCAAAGCTTTTTAGAATGTTTTCTGTTGCCTGTGTTGAGCGAAATAAAAAGGAACATGATAACTATGTAAATATACTGTAGCATTAGTTTCAAAACTTTTTGTGTGCCTAAGAATCATTGGGACAAATTCCTGGATGCCATCCATAGAGATTCAAATTCAGTTGATCTGAGATGGGACCCAATAATTTGCATTTCAGACAGGCTTCCCGATAATGCTGGTGCTGTCTGTCTGTAGTCCACACTGAGGAGCACTGCGCCATAGAGCAGAATGCAGAAGGCTTATGACTGAACCTGCAAGAAAGTGTACCACATGGAACAGAAGAAAATGTTGTCCATTTGCTTCATGTTTATAGAGTGACTCAATAAGAATTCAGTAAAATGGGAACTCAAAGAGGAAACAGAATGCGAGGAGCGGGAGATTATGTTTCCAAGAAACATTGAGGACTCAGTTGTCCCAAGTAATCTGTTTTATCTATGTGGCAAAGTTGTGTAGTTATCCTTTGTTGGCTTCGTATTTTAAAACTTTTTAGGGGCACCTGGGTGGCCTCAGTTGGTTAAGCATCCAACTTCGGCTCAGATCATGATCTTGCGGTTCATGAGTTCAAGCCCCTCATTGGGCTCTGTGTGACAGCTCAGCGCGTGGTGCCTGCTTCGGATTCTGTGTGTCTCTCTCTCTGCCCTTCCTCTGCTCACGTTCTGTCTCAAAAATAAATAAACATTAAGAATTTTTTTTTAACTTTTTAGATAGATGTTTTAAAAGGAAATGTTAAATCTTTGGGTCTGTAATTTATTTTAATTGCCAGATTTTCTTAGTGCAAAAGAGGCAACATGCCTGCATTATGCTTACATTTAATAGTGACTACTGATCTTGATTTTTACATAAAACAAATCTATTTAAATTCTTACAATTCTGAGTAGAGAAAATGCATACTTTTAGTTTTATTGTAGTAATCAGAATAGAACTCTTAAAATCACGAGGGAAACCCAATCTGAATTAAGCCCCTCCACCAAAGCAAAGGATTTACTGGTTCATGTAAATGAAAAATCCAGTGTAGAGTTGGCCTCAGGGATTCAGATGTGATTATCAGAACTCTCTAAGTGGGTCTAATTTCTCCATGAGCCTTCACCAAAACTGGGGAGAAGATTTTGTGGGATTGGGGAGGACGAGGGAGGAATGAGAGCACATATAAAGTCTCAGAAGATTGCTCTGGTGCAGCTGGGGTCACGTTCCTATCTTTGAATTTTGAAGCCACTCTAAAAATACTGTCCCCCGTTAACCCTTCCTTTCCTCTAATTAATGACTTTTCTCCCTCCACTCAACCTCCTTCCTATTCAGGATTATAATTGCTTAAGACAAGTTTATGACTTTGTAGGTATAAGCTGCTCAGATTAAGTGCTTAGCTGTTTGGGAATTAATCTGGAATGGATAGAGCCAGCATTGGGTCGCTTGGCTTGGTTAATAAAGGTATTAGAGTCTCAGCAGCAGGTTGCTCGCTCTATTCCCTCAGGCCACTGGCAATGCTCATTTACTTTGTGTACTAGCAACTCTTAGCAGAGAAAAAAAACAACTACTGCTCCTTTGTTTATTGTTACTCTTGAGTTGCTAAGAGCACATCTGTTTGCAGGTGAGTGTGCTGATGACATTTTCCCTTAAACATTCTTTTTCGAACTGTTAGAAAATCTACAGGATTTCATCTCTTAATAGCTCACAGAATTTAGAGATGAGACACTAAATGGTATAAGAATGTATGTTTAAACAGTAGGCTACCTATTGTGATTCTCCCAGTAAAATTCTGTAATGTACAGATATATGGAAATTTGGTGTTGTGAAAGATTTTCAGATCTACCTCAATACTTCAAAGGAAGATGAAGAGAGGTTAAGTATCTCGGCCCTGGTTCTTTAGCTTGAGATAGTGCTGCAACGAAAAGAAAAGGAACAACCCCCCTCTGCCCCCCAAGCTCCATCTTCGGTGAGGCCTGGGGGAGGACGAGAAAAAGCAAAGAGGGCTTTGTTAGAAATTGCCCCAGGTCAGAAGAGAAGAGACAGTAACAAAGCAAACTTCAAAATGTAATCTCCCTTTCGCCTCACAACTGTTTCTTTACTTTTACTTCAGCTAGGATGCACCGGAATTTTCCAAATCACCCAAACCAATAAAAAGGCCAGGGAGTGCAGGAGACACCAGGAGGAAAGGCAAGTTTGCACGACAAATTCTTACCCTCACATAAACAGATGCAAGCCACAGATTGATTCAGCCTGTTTCCCCACCTTCCCTAAAAGTGGATTTATGAATTGCGGTTTTTCTGACCACTTACCCTCTTAACTGCTTATGTGATCATTGCAAAGCATATGGAGAGATTTCCATTTACGTGTCCTAGGGAAGGAGGTTACCTCCTCCATAAGATGAGTTTAAAAACACCACGCCTGCCTCTGAGCTGGAGTTTGGATCGTATGTTCTCTTCAAGTTCTTGGATTTTTAATTCACGAAAGATTCTGCATTCCACGAGAATTCTCCATTCTCAGTGCTTCTGCTGAGGAACAGGTCTGCCTGGGACCGGGGCTTGATGTGACCCATTGCAAAACAATTTTGTTGACCTCTTTTAGTTTAAAATCCATGTGAAAGATTTCGTTTCACTCCAAGTTGTTGATGTTGGTTTTAACAAGAATATTTATTTTTAACTTCCTAAAGCTTCAAGCAAAATTCATCCCCTTAAAAAATTGTGTTTCTCCTGAGGCTGTGTGTAACTCCTCCATGGCATCTTATTTCTCTTGGGGGAGCGTGCGTGTGTGTACACATCATCCTAAGAAATAGAGTGAGCTACGTTAGAGGCTCGTTTCCTTTAAACTTCTATAAACTAACTTTCTGTCCAGTCTGTAGTAAAGCGCCATGCTTAAGAATTACTGTAGTGACTGAAGGAGTAGGTTCCAGGAAATTTGTACCCAGAAGACGCATGTGGAAAGATCCTGAGAAGCACAACTCCGAGTTATAAAATGTTGAAGAGAGTTACGATACCAAAAAGCTAAGTAAATACCGTACAGAGTAACGTAATGACAAACATGCTGGAGGAAAAGCCTCTGAAAGCCTTGAGGGAGGCAAAAATGGTAGCCCAATAAGTGCTGCCTGCGAATGAGGAGGTGGATGAATGAATGGGTTTTGTTAAGGCAGTGGTTCTCGACTGTGGGGGTTTTATTCTCTAGGGGACGTTGGTGAGGAGATACTTCTGATGACCGACACGAATGGGAGGCAGGGTGTGCTGCTCCGGGCAGCCGTGAGCAGAGCCAGAGATGCCGCAGATTAACCCACAGTGTCCAAGGCAAGCTTCCACCACAACAGAGAATCTGGTCCAAAATGTCAGTAGGGCCGGTGTTGAGAACTCTGGGTTACAGTTAGGAGAGTGGGACAAGGGTGCTGGGAAATGCCAAGAAAAAGACTGAGCGACAGACTAGTCAGGAGACACACCCTCGGGGACATCCGCTCGTGCAGAGTGACTCAGAATGGAGCCTCACAACCACAGCCTCCAGCTGGGACCTGGGAGGGGAAGTCCCTTAGCTCAGCCAGCCCCTTGGGGTGGGGGAGGACAGCCCTTTTCTAACCGAGCCTGAAAGGGATTTGCTGTCAGTGAGGCCTAGTGTGCTCTCAGAGCATCCCCTTTGCCTCTTTGAGATGTTTTCTGTGTTTACATTTAAAATTACCTTCACAGAGGAAGCCTTTCATTTCAATAATGAAATAAAGGCTAAATTGGAGGTGACAAACATTTTCATGGGAAAGACCGTCAAATGTAACAAGCCAACGAAGAAATTGCCCTTATTAAATCCTGTTCCTTTTTGAATAGGAAAAAATGTCACAGAACTTTGCTTACTGTTGGTAGTGGCCCACCCCGGAGGACATCAGTGGGTACAAAAAGGCTTCAGTGTTTCCCATGGAAGTTCCGGTTTCCTTGGAATGTGTGCTAAAGCGAAGCTTTGAAATACATAACCTAAGGTGGGGAGGGGGGGGGTGCCCGTGGGCGGGGAGATTGACTTTGGGGAGGTTTCCCTCTCCTCCTCCCTGAAGTATTTGCATTAATTAGTTGGATGGTGAGAAGTGATAACATTCCATACCACTGGAGTCCAGAAATGTTTCCCAATAATTACAATGTAGTTTAATCATCTGGGCCTCTACCTTTCCTTAGGCTGACTGAGGCGGGGGAAGTAGCTTTAGAGTCTGTACTGAGAGCCAAGCAAATCCGCACTTGTAAATCAGTCCTATTCTTGGAATTTTCCTGCTTCAGAATAACACTTCCATTTAGTCCCTTAAAAGCTTTTTTTGGAGGGGTTTCTGTGTGTTTGGTAACGGGAAGGATAAAAGTTGTGAAGATGTGTAACACAATTTCTACATTCAGGGAGCTTAGAACAGAAGACACACAAAAATGTTAAACATGGCAAATCCTGATACAAGAAGCCTCACAAGAGGGCCCCGGGAGCAGAGAAGGATGGGACATTGGATTTAAGCCCTTGAAGATAGAATTTTCAATACATGGGTGTGAGGGGGGATGGCACAGAAGGAACAGCATTTTAGAGATCAGAAAGCACGGAGGCACAGGGTCTTTGTGGCTAATTCCTGTAGGGGAAGGGGTCCAGAGCATAGTATATGGAGGAGGGGTAGGGGACGAGGGATGATACAGTGGGAAATAGGCTGGAAAGGTGGGTTGGGGAAAGATGATTGAGGGCATTAAGAGCTGAGGAATTGGGCTGTGTTCTATGGATGATAGCCACAGAAGGTTTTTGTGTGGGTGAGCAGTGAGATCAGATCTGGATTTTAAGAAGTGAGTCCGGCTGTATTCCCACCAACAGTGCGAAAGTATTTCTCTTTCTCCACAAACTGATGCAGCCACTCTGGAAAACAAAAGTAGAACTACCAGGGCACCTGGGTGGCTCAGTCAGTTAAACGACCAACTTTGGCACAGGTCATGATCTTACTGTTGGTGAACTCACCAAAGCCCACATCGGTTCTGTGCTGACAGCTCAGAGCTGGGAGCCTGCTTCAGATTCTGTGTCTCCCTCTCTCTCTGCCCCTCTCCCGCTCATGCTCTCTTTCTCTCTCTCAAAAATAAACATTAAAAAAAAAAAAGTAGAACTACCCTACAACCTAGCAGTTTCACTACTAGGTATTTATCCAAAGGATACAAAAATTCTGATTCAAAGGGGCACGTGGACCCCAATATCTGTAGTAGCACTATTAACAATAGCCAAATTATGGAAATTATCGACTGATGACTGGATAAAGAGGTTATGGTGACTGGATAAAGAGGACTGGATATATACTGATGTGTGTGTGTGTGTGTGTGTGTGTATATATATATACACACACACACACACACACACACACACACACAATGGAATATTGCTCCGCGATCAAAAAGAATGAAATCTTGCCATTTACAACAACATGGATGGAACTAGAGTGTAGTCTGCTAAGTGAAATAAGTCAGAGAAAGACCAATATGATTTCACTCGTGGAATTTAAGAAATAAAACAGATGAACATAGGGGAAGGGAAGGAAAAATAAGAAAAACAGAGGGAAGGCAAACCATAAGAGACTCTTAAATACAGAGAGCAAGCTGAGGGTTGCTGGAGGGAAGATAGGTGGGGAGATGGGTTAACTGGGCGATAGGCATTACAAGAGGGCACCAGTTGGGATGAGCACTGCGTGTTCTGTGTAAGAGATGAATCACTAAATTCTACTCCTAAAACCAATATTACACTGTATGTTAACTAACTTGAATTTAGATACATTTTTTAAAAAAGGGATTCTGGCTGTAGTGAGGATACGGGGTGGGAATGGAGGGGAGGCTGGGAAGGGGAAAGAAATATCCAGAGGCTCTAACAAAAACATTATTCTGGCATTCTCTTAGCATCTCTTTAGACTTCTTTGACCTTGGAAATATATACTGTAATTTATTCAATTAAAAAAACCAGTGTGAGCTTTTGTGGTTACAGTCCCTTTGTAGTCGAGTTTTCTTTTACTTTAGGGTTCCCTATCACGCTGAAACTAGACTCCCTCAGAATTCTCCTCCTTTAAATCTAAAGTTTCATGTTTACAATACAGCTTTTAACCCTTGGGTATCATTTACATTCCTCTCGGTATCTATTTTCTGCTCATTGCCTAAGGAGCCTCCCTTCTTGCCCTGAGAGCATGAAATTCACTGTAATTAAAGTGCCTGGTGGTTTAGTGTGATTGTTCTTTCTTGTTTTTCTGAGACGTCATCCTTGCCCTCTGTGGCCCAGCCCAGGGTATAATCTTAATTAACATCTACAGTCCATGTCCTGTGAGTACTGATTTCAGGAAGGACACTGAGCCTAGACCTTCACTTGGGGGGTTAATTTTTCTTATTAATTCCAAGGAAAATTGTATGATGGAAAGTAAACTGATTACTCCCTTGAACTGAATGAGAAATCCATGTCAATACAAGTATGAACAGGACCAGAAGTGTTATCTTGATGAAGTCTGAAATCTTGCTAGGACTCTGCTGGGCTGCCTGATACATTTAGGATCCTAACTCCCACCCCAATCAGAATGGCATAATGTACTTGTTTTTTCCTGGAGAGTAGTGGGTGGTGACTGAAGATTTCTCAAGTGTCCCTCATGGTGGGGTTGTGACTCTCCATCTTTTTCTCTTCTCAGAAATTCATTTAATTGGGATTACCTGGAACTGAACCTTCCTGAATAAACTAGAGAAAGATGAAATATGTGAAATGACTATTTTCAGAAATTGGACAGCAGGCAGTGCAGGACCTTGATCCCTAAGAGGGAAATAACAAGGAACTACATACAATGCTGTAGGCTTTCTCTTGGAGGCTGTACTGACATAGTCTGCTATAACAAAATATCATAGGCTGAGTGGCTTAAAAAACAGAAATTTATGTTCTTACAGTTATGAAACTAGAAGGCCAAAATCGAAGTGCAATCAGGGTTGGTTCCTGGTGAGGCCTGCCTTCTGGCTTGTGGATGGCTGTCTTCTCACTGTGTCCTCACATGATTTCTCTTCTGTGGCCACATGGAAAGAGAGAAAGAGAACCCTGTGTCTCTTCTTAGGACACCAGCCTGGGCACCTGGGTGACTCAGTCAGTTGAGCATCCAACTCTTGATTTCAGCTCAGGGTTGAGCATGGAGCCTGCTTGAGATTCTCTCTCTGTCTCCCTCTGGTCGCGCTCTCTCTCTCTTTAAACGGGGGCGGGGGGGGGGGGGACCAGTCCTATAGGATTAGGACCCCACTCCTATGACCTCATTTAATTACCTTACCAAAGCCCCTGTCTCTAAATATAGTCCTATTAAGGATTAGGGCTTCAGTATATTGGAGGGAACACAATTGAGTTGGTAACAGAGGCACTTTCCAGACCAATGTGCAGAGATCCCAAGCAGAGCGCAGTCATTTTACTAAGCTGAGGAGGCAGATTGGAGTTCAAGGAAGTGGCTAGAATTTTAGGAAAGAAACCACAGAGGTGGGAGCTATGTGAAGAAAGACCTCCAGAAGTCTCCATAGTTCTCTTGAGTGTAATGCTGAAACCCAATGAGGCTGTACAAAGAATGGAGGGTTGTAGGAGCACGATTCCCAGAGCTCAGAAAGGCTGAGAATCATTCATGTGTTGAGCTGCTAGAATGGAGATTTATACATGTAGGACATTCAGTCAAGACTCCAGAAGGTTACACCTTGGCAGTAGGGCTGAACTAGCCCAGAGTAAAGACTGCCCTCAGCTCACACCAATAAGCTTAATAACAAGCCTTGAAAGGCTCACCATGATCCAAAATTAACCTAATTGCCTCACAGAATGCTCCTAATGTCCTGTAAAGGAAACAATAAAATTTAACAATCCCCAATACAGAGTTTGTGATGCTGATTTAACAAAAAATTACTGCGCGTGGAAAGACTCAGGAAAATGTGAGTCATAGCCAGGAGAAAAAACTGATAAATGGAAGCTACCCAGAAATGACTAACATGATGGAATTAGCAGACAAAGATTTTCATATAGTTTTTTTTGTTTTTTTTTTTTTTTACCATTTATTTATTTTTGAGAGACAGAAACAGAACGAGCAGGGGAGGGGCAGAGAGAGAGAGAGGGAGACACAGAATCTGAAGCAGGCTCCAGGCCCTGAGCTGTCAGCACAGAGCCAGATGTGCGGCTCGAACCCGCGAACCATGAAATCATGACCTGAGCTGAAGTCAAATGCTTAACCGATTGAGCCACTCAGACACCCCAATGCCGTTTTTATACATATGTTCAAATATTTAAAAACATGAATACAATCACAAGAGAAATTGGATGTATAAAAAAGGAACCAAATAGAACTTCTAGCAGTGGAACAATGCAATATCTTACATGAATAATTTACTGGAGAAGCTTATAAGAAGATTAGACACTGATGAAAAGGTCGGTGAATTTGACACAGCAAAAGAAACTAAACTGAAGGAAGAGACACAAGACTGAACATCAGTGACCTGTGGGACAATATTATGAGAGAGAATTTTTGAGTAACCAAAGTCTTGGGGCAGAGAGAAGAAAATATTTGAGAAATAATGGTGAAAAATGTTCCCAAAAGTCTGTGTTTTGTTGAAATATAATTCACATGCCACACAATTCACTCATTTAAACTATACAAATTGATGTCATTTAGTATATTTACAGGCTTGTGCAACTATCATTGCAACCTAATTTTAGATCATTTTGTCCTCGCTAAATCCCCTCCAATCACAGTCAGTTTTAGAGTAATTTCATCACCTTCAAGAGAACCTCCAATACGATGATAATTAGAACTGACTGGAGCAGACATCCTTGAATATTCCTGATTTTGGTGGAAAGCGTCTAGTCTTTCACCTTTAAGTCTGATACTAGCAGTGAAGTACCTAGCGATGTCCTGTATCAAGGTGAGGAAGTGCCTGTTTTTTCTGCGGTTATTAAAATGATCATATTTTCTCTTTATTCTATGTTATTGTCTGTTACATTGATTTTCAGATGTTAAGCCAACCTTATATGCTTCGAATAAATTTCACTTGGTCACGATGTATAATCTTTTTTATACGTTGCTGGATTCGGTTTGCTAGCATTGGTTGAGAATTTTTACATCTGTATTTCCAAGCCACATAGATCTTTAGTTTCTTTTCTTGTGCAATTTTTGTCCAATTGGCTATCAGGGTAATACTGGCCTCATAAAATGGGTTAGAAAGTGTCTATTCCTCTTCTGTTTTTTGGAACAACTTGTGAAGAATTCGTATTCTTCTCTGCATGTTTGGTAAAAATTTACCAGTGCTGCTTCTTTTCTTTGGGCCTGAGCTTTGTAGAAAGTTAAAAATTACTGATTTGATCTCTTTACTTATTATAAACCAAGTCCCATTTTCCATTTCCTTTTTAAAAATTTTTTTTAATGTTTGTTTATTTTTGAGAGACAGAGAGAGAGAGAGAGACAGAGTGCAATTGGGGGAGGTGCAGAGAGAGAGGGAGACAGACTCCAAAGCAGGCTCCAGGCTCCATACTGTCAGCACAGAGCCTGATGTGGGACTCAAACTCTTGAATTGCAAGATCATGACCTGAGCCAAAGTCAGACGCTTAACTGACTGAACCACCCAGGCGCGCCTCTTTTATGTCAGTTTCAGTATTTTGTGTATTCCTGGCAATTTCTCCATTTCATTTAAACTACCTGATGTTAGGGGCGCCTGGGTGGCGCAGTCGGTTAAGCGACTTCAGCCAGGTCACGATCTCGCGGTCCGGGAGTTCGAGCCCCACGTCAGGCTCTGGGCTGATGGCTCAGAGCCTGGAGCCTGTTTCTGATTCTGTGTCTCCCCCTCTCTCTCTGCCCCTCCCCCGTTCATGCTCTGTCTCTCTCTGTCCCAAAAATAAATAAACGTTGAAAAAAAAAAATTTAAACTACCTGATGTTAGTATACAGTTGTTCGTAGTTTTCCCTTATAATCCTTTTTATTTCTGTAAGTTTGGTAAATGTCCTCTCTTCCTGTTTGAAGTAATTTGAGCCTTCTCTCTTTTCCCTTGGCTAGTCTAGCTAAAGTTTTGTCAATTTTGTCTGTCTTTTCAAAGAACCAAATTTTGGTTTCATTGATTTTTTTTTTCTACTGCTTTTCTACCTTGTGGAAACCAGTAATAAAGAGAAAAGTCTTTAAAACAGCCAGTGGAAAACAAGACACATTGATTATAGAGGAAGAGGTAGCCTTGCAATACAGGAGATAATATAATAGCACTACACTTAAAATGGATGCATTGATTCTTTTTAAAAGTTGATTAAACAAACAAAAAAATCACATTTTCTTTGAGTCTGAGGTTGTCAGTTTGATGTCTGCATGAGACCGTATGCTTTACCAGGAAAAACGCTTCTTCCGTCCCTGAATTCCTAGACAACCACTGTGTCCCTGAGTTCTTCATTGTAGAGGTGGTGATTTTTCTTTCCGGCACAAAGGGAAAGAACAGAACTAATAGGTCCTGCTGATACTACCCACAGTGTAGGCACAAGTCTGTGCTGATCATGATGCTTGTAAGGAAATTTTTTTCTCGCTTAGTTTAGCCCTAACCCAGTCATTATCAACCTTGGCTGTTCTTTAAAATCAGCTGGGAAGCATTAAAAAAAGGCTGAAGCCGTCCACATACCAGACCAATTTAAATTTAGAATCTAGTGGTGGAACCAGGCCCTCTGGTTTTGTGCGTGCATGTGTGGGTATAAATATAAAAAATATTGTATATAAAATATGTATGTATAGGTATTTGTATGTTGTGGGGATTTTTTAGTGTTTTTATTTACTTTTCAGAGAGAGAGAGAGACACACACACAGTGTGGGCAGGGGAGGGGCAGAGAGAGAGAGAGACACACAGAATCCGAAGCAGGCTCCAGGCTCCCAGTCGTCAGCATAGAGCCTGATGAAGGGCTCTAACTCACAAACTGTGAGATCATGACTTGAGCCGAAGCCGGACAGTTAACTGACTGAGCCACCCAGGTGCCCTGTTTGTTTGTTTGTTTATTTATTTATTTTATTTTTTCTTATCGCATGGGTCTTTTAAAATATATAACAAAGTGGAAAGAATAGTGATTTTCAAACAGGTGGTATGTTAAAGAAGAGTGAGTTTATGTATTTTTTTAAATGGATAAAGGTGGGCATCATATTGCCATAGCATTTAGATTCCATCAGTCTCATTTTAGAAAGTAATGTTTTACTTCAAAATGTCCAGGTTTACAGTACATTATAAATTACATTCTTCACAACCACTTAAACTTATTATGTATGAGTCCTTATAGATATCAAATGAAAATTGTGCAAGGGAGAACATGTATTAGAAACATTTTTTTTTCAACGTTTTTTATTTATTTTTGGGACAGAGAGAGACAAAGCATGAACGGGGGAGGGGCAGAGAGAGAGGGAGACACAGAATCGGAAACAGGCTCCAGGCTCCGAGCCATCAGCCCAGAGCCTGACGCGGGGCTCGAACTCACGGACCGCGAGATCGTGACCTGGCTGAAGTCAGACGCCCAACCGACTGCGCCACCCAGGCGCCCCTAGAAACATTTTTTTAAGGGCAGGAGAAGGGAAGAGTTAGAAGATCACCAATCTGGATGGATTGCTTTCTTCCTTCTGGAGGCGCAAGGGCCATTCACTAGGATATAGTTTATTTCAAACCTTGTCTTTATAGTTCAGTGAAGCAGAAATGGACCCGTGCTTTACAACTTCATCTGTTTTATGATTGATGAACAGTAAGCACTACAGAAACTTAAATGTGTGTTTGCAGAATTGTGTGGGTGTTTCGGACATGGCACTTTCTATATATAATCTGTGGGCAACGGAGAAACACGTATGTCTTTGCGGCACAAAGTTACTTTTACTATTGTTAAAATGTATTAATATAGCTTATTTTAATAGTAATAATCAAATCATTCTCTTCTAACGGCATCTTTCACTTCCCGTTAGTACTTTAAATTATCTTGTGGGGCGCCTGAGTGGCTCAGTCAGTTAAGCATCTGACTCTTGTTTTCAGCTCAGGTCATGATCCCACGGTTTGTGAGATCAAGCTCCATGTCGGGCTCTGCACTGACAGCGTGGAACCTGCTTGGGATTCTCTCTATCTCTCTCTTTGCTCCAACCCCCCCAACCCCCCCCCACACACAAAACAAATAAAAACATTTTTGAAAATCTTAAAAAAAATAAAATTATCTCACCTAACTGATCTATTTCTAGTTCTCTTAATCCTCAGAAGAGAGGTGAGATCCTTTCCTGGTTTGGGAAGGACCATGCGAATGGACTGCTGGGATCTGTGCACGTTTAATTCTGGGTCTTTGTAACAATCACAGTGGCTCCTTCCCATCACTGAGCACAGCTTACCAGCAGGCCGGGTAGCTGTACCCATGTTCTGTCTAGTGGTCACTACAGCCGTGGGAAGTTGATTCTGTTCTTTTCCGTTTATAGCTGAGAGAAGTGAGGCTTAGAGAGGTTAAGGATCTAGCCCAAGGGCACAGAACTACTTGTGGGGAGGTGGGACTTGCCCCTGGATTGTCTAACTGATGATTTCTACTTCAGCACACTCCTCTCTGGGCTCTGGCTCTTGGTGAAGAGCATCCAGGTGAGTAACAGAAGGAAGAACATTGGATGGGATCTAAAGACCAGGGCTCGCTTTCTAGTTCCAATGCCTGGTTAGCTGTGAGACCTGAGTAAGTCACTTAGCATCTTGCGGGCCGTGTTGTTCAAAATTTGCAGCATCATGTGAGATTTAAACTGTAATCAGTACAAGAGTAAGACAGAGGATTCATTTGTCCTGTTTCCTAGTTCTTATTTTGTTGTAGAATTAGTGAAAAACCATCATACCGTCTTTTGATCACAGAGGAGTTCATAAAACATCATTTGATTTTGTGGAATTGGGAATGAGATTGTTTTCCCCCATCTCTGTTGAATGGCACAGTGAATGGATTGTCAAAGCTTGCAAGCGCATGGGTGTGTGTAGCATCCCTGCCTGATCTTGGCATTGGGCAAATGAATCAGGCGGTATGGGCACAGGAAAATTTAGCACATCTTTTTAGATAGAAAAATATCACCTGCATGCATTCCAGATGGTCCACGAATTGAAGGAACTTGAGTAGAGAATGCCTAAATTGTTCACGTTAAGCTCTGAAGCTGGTCTCTGTCTCTGGAGAGTCGTGTCAGGGTTGAGTTAAAGAAAAAACAAGAATACCATTTGTATTAAAGGGACATCACTTATTCTGATGAGGAGAGAAGAAATTTCTAAGTTCCAGCTTACATGGCCTGATTCCCTACTCTAATTTCAAGAGCCCAGCTAAAGCTTCTGCTGACTCAAAGAATTGTTGCTTCTCCTAAAAAAAATTGCTTCAAATGCCTTCTGTGTTTGCTCACCTGCTTCTGGTTAGTCTTATAAAAAAGTGAAAAAGATCAACTTTGGATATTAAAAATATATATAAAGAATAATTAATGAAGGCCTATGAACTTATTAGCACCTTGCTTGAGAGCTAGTCAAAGCTCCTGTCCCCCCTGTCCCCATCACCTACGCTTCAGTGGTAGCACCAGCCTGAAACTTGATGTTTATCACTCCCATGCCTTTCTTTATACTTTCCTGCATAGGTGTGTCTACCTAAGTGATATATGGCATTGTTTTGCATGTTTTGAGACTTTATATAAATAGAATAATACTGAAGTATTCCTCTGCCCTTTTGATTTTTTCCTTCAAAGTGAGACCATTTTTGAGGGTTATTTGTGTTGATTCAGGTAGTCTAGTTCATTCACTTTCAATGCTGTTTGATATTCCACTGTATGAATACACCATGTCTTCGTTGAAGCTGGTAAAACAAGCACCACAGACTAGATGGCTTATCAACAACATGAATTTATTTCTCACAGTTCTGGAAGCTGGGAAGTCTGAGATCACAGTGTCAGTATGGCCGGGTTCTGGTGAGAGCTGTCTTCTGGGTTGCAGACTGCTGATTTCTCCTTTCATCCTTACATGGAGGAAGGAACGTGAGCTAACTCTCTGGGTTCTTTTGATAAGGGTACTATTCCCATTGTTTTGTTTTGTTTTTAATGGTTATTTTATTTATTTTTGATAGAGGGCGTGGGGAGGGGCAGAGAGACAGGGAGACAGAGGACCTGAAGCGAGCTCTGTGCTGACAGCATAGAGCCCAACGTGGGGCTGGATTTCATGAACCATGAGATCATGACCTGAGCCAAGTTCAAGAGTCAGACGCTTAACCAACTGCACCACCCAGGCGCCCCAACTATTCCCATTCTTAAGGGCTCTCTATCTTCATGACCTAATTATCTCCAAAGCCCCCACCCCCACCCCCTCCAAATACCACCACACTGGGAATTAGATTTCAACGTATGAGTTTTGGAGGAACACAAACATTCAGCCCATAACAACACAGTTTACCTGTTCTTCTGTCGGTGGACATTTTGTTTTGTGATTACAAACAATGCTGCAAGCACAAGCTTGTTTTTTGTCCTCTTGTGTAAATGTGTGTTTCTCTAGGATTTATCTGTGTAGGGCTGGAACTTCCATGTGTTGGGTTCGCACATCCTCAACTTTCCTAGGTAGTGTAGATTGTTGTCCAGAATGATGCCACCAATTTACATTTTCTCCAAAGGTATTTGAGTGTTACTGCGTTTCATCCTTGCCCCCAGTTATCATTACTGGGTAGGACAGAGAAAAAGTACAAGGGCGATGAGCAGTTAGATCAACTCTGCAGACTTGAAACTGTCCTTAAAGAAAAGGACAAGTGTTTGCGGAATAAAATCCAAACTCCTTACCATGGCATACACAGCCCTGCCTTATCTGGCTTCCTCTTACCTGGCCACCTTCCCCGGCCTCCCCTCATTCAGGGTGGCTTTTTTTCTATGACTGGAACATACAGGCAAACTCATTCCCACCTCAGAACTCGTTTTGTCTGCCTGGAACACTCTCTTCCCAGTTCATTGCATGACTGGTTTCTTCTTAGCCTTTAAAAATCAGCCCTTCTGAGAGGCCTCCTCTGACCACACAATTTAAAGGAGTCCCCCTCTTTGTCTTCCTAATTACCCCATGGCTCTCATTCACATTACTCTGTGTGTTTTTTCATTGTATTTATCACAATTTGAAATTGCTTACTTTGTTTCTCTAACCAGAATGTAAATGGCATGAGAGCCACAAACAATGCCTGACATGTGCCAAATCTTAACTGAGTGAATTGACGCTTTCTCTACTTGGTAACTTGTTACCTCTTCCTGTCGCTTCTCTCGCATTCGCTGTCCCAGTATTTTGCTGACCACTGGTGTATAGATTGGGGTGAATGTAGAGGACCCTGATACTATCCTATATAGACACGCTGTCTAGTGCTATTTATGTCCTTCTGAGACGTCCCAAGATCTCAGGCGTTGAATCTATCCACAGTTGAATCTTTCTCCTTTTCTTTTTTTTTTTTAAATGTTTATTTATTTTGAGAGAGATTGACATAGCGCTAGCAGGAGAGGGGCAGGGAGAGAAGGAGAGAGAGAATCCCAAGCAGGCTCCCTGCTCTCAGCATGAACTGTGAGATCATGACCTGAGCCAAAATCGAGTTGGGACTCTCAACCAACTGAGCCACCCAGGTGCCCTTGAATCTTTCTCTTTGGACTAAAGTCAGACCATCCCCCTCTAGCCTCAGTGCCTGGAACCGATGACTACCATCCTTCTCTCTCCGTCTTTCTGGAGGTCATCGTGGCTTCCGTAAGTGCTTGGTAGAGGATGGGGTTTGCCTTAGTCATCTCTGGCCCTTTCTTGCCAACTGATGGTGTGGAAGACTCCTCAAGGGGCCGAGCATATATGTATTTACTCCTCATCTGGGTAGTGGCGACTTTGTGATCATCACTTGAATCACCTGTGATTCCTGAATCTGGCTGACCTCCTAAAGGATTACTTATTGCTTCTGGGAGAAAATACGATGATTATTCTGAGACTGATCAGTTGATTCACTCACTTTTGTGCCCTCCACCCCTCATGACACCTCGTTCCTGGGCTGGGACAGGCGGTCTCTTTGGCGTTCTCCCTGTACTACTTCCAGTCGCTGCCCTTAACCTCATTGTTTGTCATGGTCTCTTTTGCCCTGAGGAGAGGGAAATATGTTTTTAAGCTTTGTATCATTAGTGCTTGGCACACAGTAGTCATTTAATAAGTGTTTATTAAGCAGATAAATAAGTAGATGGAATGAATTCTAGACCTGGAATGAAAACCTGGTTTATTAAGACATTCAGGGTCTAGAGAGACAGTGCCAGCCGTGTGTCTGACAAGAATTTGTAACCCATGGCCACTCAGCTCCAGAGAAAACCAGGTTTTCCACAGACTGTTGAGGTAAGAACCAGACTTTGAATGAGGCACCGTTAGTCTGTCCTCATCCCGCACTATCAGCCATGGATAGAGCAGCGACCAGACGCCCAGAATTCTGCTCCACCCCCGTGTATATCCCCGGCAGAGATTTCACTTTGTTTATTCAGTCAACATTTGTTAAGTGTTTCTATGTTTTCACGTGAACAAGGGAGCAAGAAGCAGTGTGTTGTCACTTTGCTTCATAGTGTGACACAGAGAAAGCGTCTGTGTTATTTGGACAGTGATTCAACTGAGCATCATCTCTGAAGGATATGGATGGACGTGGCACTGTCATCTTTGTTTCCCAGGGCCAGTCCTGTAGAGCAGTATGTAAAGAGTGGATGCGAATAGCGGTGGTGTTTTCCGCCCACACTCTTGTGTGCATTGTCTACTGCTGGGTCACCACGAAGTGTGACAGAGAAACTTCAGGGGTTCTCTTTCTGGCTGTGGACACACATACAGTCTTTTTATCACCTGCTTTTGATTTGCTAGTTTGGCTCAAATGCGGGTATTCCTAATTTCTGGATTTCACTCTGTGCTGTAGTGGAAAAACTGAAAAGACAGTCCCCATCGCTTCTGAGCCTTTTGGCTAAGATCAAGTGTAGTGTCTGATAAGACCCTCCCTCTAAGGAAACGCATAATTTGAAGAGGGTTATCTTTTCATTACAGATTGTCTTGTGCCAGCTTTAGCAAGGGGATTAGGGGAGGTGTGTTTGAAACAGTTCAACTCATTCCGTATTGCCTCAATCGTATTTATGTTCTTTAAAATGATTTTATTTTTCTATGTTGAATATATTCCTGAAGGATTCCATACCTTGTGTCTGGAATAAGGTAGAGCATGAAATATACACACACAATATTTGTTATCTTGTAGGAAAATGAAGCAACAGAATAATCATAATAAATTAATTTGAATGAAAATCTATTTTTAAATCTTCTTTTGTGTATTATCTAACATAGTTGGAGAAAAATGCAGTGCAGTTCTGTGTTTTTAAAAAATTAAGTATAACATTTGCTCATAAATATGTGATTGGCATCCCAAATGTTACCAATTTTATTTAGCACCTCCATGAAAAGTTAGACTCTAAAAGATTTTGCTTTATTTGTTCATTTAGTTTTTTTATAAGCTGGTGGAAAATTTATAAATGAGAATGGAAATACTAACAGTTCCAGAAGATACTTGTTTCTTTACTAACAAATAATGTGCATTTAATTTATTTGGCTTATTTGGTGTCTCTCTGTTAAATAGAGTTTAATTTTCTATAACTTTCTTTGGGGAGTAGAAATTTAGTTTTCTTCCTATCTTTCAAAATTCTTACTGGCAATGACTGATTTCTCTGCTTGAATTTTTTTTTTTCTTCAAAAACACACCCATACGTGAATACAGATAAGGGCCTAGAAATAAATAGAGCACAATATTAGAGATGGCCATCACCATGTGGTCAGATTATGAGCACGTTTAAAATCTTTATACTTTTCTGTAATCTCCCAAATTTTCTACAAGGAGATGGTGTTACTTTAACCATTTATGGTGTTAGCATAAAAGGCCACCAACAAAATGTACTTTAAAATATTTGGCTCATACAGTGGAAAAGGTTTGCTTAGGCTAATACTCTGGACATGTTTTTTTTTACATCTTGATCCCGGCAGGGCTTTGCTGAGCACACTTTGCGGCCAACTTTACCTGGAGCAGAGTGTTTTAATCCCTTTACTTATCAGTTACATTGAAGTGCATATATGTATCTTCTTAAAAGGTGATCATTTTATCTGTCAAAAAATGTGTAAGATCTGAACTATGCATAAACAAAATAAAAAAGTAACCCTGAGGTCAGGAATAAAGAGAGACAAAGATTTGAAGTACTGCTTTAAGCTGTAAGTACATCAGTAGTTTCTTTAACATTTACATCTGGAGAAACCTACACATTTAAAGTGTTTTCTTCTCCCTCAATTTATGCAGTACTAGTATATGACAACCTTGTGGCCCTAAGATTTTTTTGAAGAGGCTTTTATTGTGAAAAACTGAGAAGAGAAAAAACAACCCATGATTTAGCAGAATGGATTATTCAAAACTGAGATTACCTAAAATAGACATATAGAAAAGCTGACACTGATACATAAAATGTGTGGCATACCCCAATATATATAGATATTCAAAATAAGATTTATTATTATTTTTAACAACTCAATCCTTTAAATAAAACTGCCTTGAAATATGACCCTAATAGAATAGTAGATACAGATACAACTATTTTTCACTTGGAAACATTTTTATTTTTAATACATTTTTATTTTTATTTTTTAATTTTTTTTCTTAATGTTTTTATTTATTTTTGAGACAGAGAGAGACTAGAGCATGAGCAGGGAAGGGGCAGAGAGAGAGGGAGACACAGAATCGGAAGCAGGCTCCAGGCTCTGAGCCATCAGCACAGAGCTCAATATGGGGCTCAAACTCACAGACTGTGAGAGCATGACCTGAGCCGAAGTCGGACGCTCAACTGACTGAGCCACCCAGGCATCCCTTTAATACATTTTTAAAGAAGCAGCATCAATTTCTTTATTACATGGAATTATCATTTTTAAAGTAACGATAATTTTTTTTGAGAGAGAGAGAGCATGAGTGGGGAAAAGAGGCAGAAGGAAAGAGAATCTTTTTAAATTTTTTTTAATGTTTATTATTTATTTTTGAGAGAGAGAGAAAGAGTATGAGCAGGGGAGGGGCAGAGAGAGAGAGAGAGGGAGACACAGAATTTGAAGCAGCTCCAGGCTCCGGGCTGTCTGCAGAGAGCCTGAGACGGGGCTCGAACTCACGAACCGTGAGATCATGACCTGAGCTGAAGTCGTGAAGTCGGAAGCTTGACCGACTGAGCCACCTGGGCGCCCCCCCCCCGAAAGAGAGAGAATCTTAAGCAGGCTCCACACTCGGCAGGGAGCCCAACGTGGGACTTGGTCCCCTGAGATCGTGACTTGAGCTGAAATCAAAAGTTGGGTGCTTAATGGACGGAGCCACCCAGATGGCCCTAAAGTAAAGATACTTTTAAATAACATTCTGTCACTCAACATGAAGCAGCGAGGGGAAAGATGGCATCTCGTTCTCTCTCCGGTCTCCAATTAACCAAGGCTTTATTCAGTATCCACTATGGGTTCCGCACCCCAAAACAGTTCTTACTGTCGTACAAAAACAGATTCAGTGAAGGCTTTGTTGTCACTGTTAGACGTTGTACTGTTGTGTGCTATTTTTCCAGAGCTATATGGATGCACATTATTCCAATTAGTTTAATATTTGTCTCACTTGATAGAAACTGAAAGTTCACTCACGAGTGAAAAGAGAGGGGAAAAGGCAAAGTTAAAAAAAAAAAGAGAGAGAGAGGCATCTAACACTGATCAAGCCATGAGTCTAGGCACCTCTGTTGACTTCTGGGGAGAGACCTGAGGTTTGCTAGGTGGGAGAGAAGCAGCAGCCTGGCTGACGGCAGGCAGGGCGACCGTGGGGCAAATGGCACTTTGTGACCCTGCTCTCCTGGGTGAGGCTGTAGCCCGCCCCGAAGAGCTCCTGCCTCTCGCTTTGGTGCTGTTGGCTTCACGGCTTCCTGAGACTCCTTCACTCCCAGATTGCCCGGAGGCCAGCAGGGGTTCTCCTTGACCTTCACTTCCTGAGCCTGCCGGGAGGTTTGGGAACCATCGGATCCTCCTGCTCTCCCGTCTTCCTGACAGAACTCTAGCCGAGAATGGACGCTGATGCTCATTTGCTCCTCCTCTGGCGTCCTGAAGAGCGGATTTCGTTTTCCAACTACAGATGTAAGCCAGTGATGACTCGGGCTGTATTCTAAATGTATAATAGAGCATATTTCTTGGTATTTCCTGGTCCTTACACTTACTTGAAATCTCGCACACACACCCTCCCCCCGAAAAACAAAACAAATGGGAGTGCCAGCATTAAATATTTTCGTTTATTATAGCCGCTATTGTTCTTATTGTATCCTGCTTTACACCGGAATTGTGACAAAGGGCAATTAGTTTTAGAGAAAGTGAAGACAGGTAGGAAGGTAGCTTCAGCTTTTCCCAAACCTGGCTGGAGGGGAAATTCGCACATCCTTCAAGTTTGTGAAACAGGCGTCGAATCTTTATGAAATGGGCCAGCAGAAGAAGGTCATCCCCATTCAGGTATCGGAGAACTGGAATCTCCTCAGGGTTAGGTAGCTTTGCAGCACAGAGAAAGAGAAGAGAAGCTCAGGGTCCATCTGTGGAAACGGGGAGGCAGGAGGAGGTGTGGGGTGGTACTAATTTGGAGTTGGAATCCCTCGAGTCTCGTTAGCTACTCAAGGGGGCCGTGGTGGTGTTATTCTAACCCGGAGGAGGAAGGGGCTGAAATGCTGTGGAGATATGAGAGGTCAGAGCACATAGAATTTGGGTACTTTCAAGGGCTTACAATTTATGCAAGTAATTTATGAGCATATGCTGAGGGGAGCACAAAGATGCCGCAAACACAGTCCCTTCCCCGGGAGATGCCCCGTGGGGAGAGCATGGTCCGTGCTGGACTGGAGCTAGGAAAGGCACTGAGTGGGCAGCCTTCCTCAGAGAAGGTAGCAGCTGAGCCGAGTTTTCAAGAAAGACCGGGATGGCTGAAATTCCTTTCCTTCCAGAACGTGCCCCACCCACCAGGAGGCCATTCCACATTAATCTCTCCATGACCCCTCCTCACAGCCTTTGGTGATTCAGGCTGATGGTCTCCTTGCAGCTGCAGGTAGGGAAATGGCTCTGCAGGACGGTCTTGCCTGAAAGTTTCCAGGGCGTGGATTCAGGGCCGGCCTCAGTTGGGTGGGCTAAATACAAGCTGAACTGCTACGTTCTGCAAGCAGAGTGACCACTTACCTGCAAGGGATACAAGAACTCACAGCATTTTCATCCCTCCCTGCATCAGAAGGTAAGGAGGGAGGGAGGGACAGAGGAATATGAGATGGATGAATAACAGGAATGGACCAGCATTTTTGACTTCCCTTCAATCCCAAATTCCGGAAGATGACAGAAAACTTTTTAAGAGAGTAAATCAACAATGGCTATAGGAAATAGGAAAGATTTTTGGGGCGCCTGGGTGGCTCAGTCGTTTAAGTGTCCGACTTCAGCTGGGGTCATGATCTTGCGGGTTATGAGTTCGAACTCCGCGTCAGGCTCTGTGCTGACGGCTCAGAGCCTGGAGCCTGCTTCGGATTCTGTGTCTCCCTCGCTCGTGTTCTGTCTCTCTCTCTCTCTCAAAAATAAACAAACATCAAAAAAGGTTTTTTTTAAATAAAAAAATTTTTAAAAAGGAAATAGAAAAGAATCTGATCAGCAGGAATAATCTTATTGAATTCCTGAAAATCACAAAGCAAACAGGACCATATCCACAGAGAGATAAATGACCAAATGGAACCACTAACCCAAAACACACACAATCTGAGATCAACGTTAATAAAAGTGAGAAGCAGGAGGGGCCCTGAGGTAAATATTAGGATGACCAGTTGGGAGCCAGCCGGCACCTCGCCCTCCACATTGAACCCTGGCGCCCTCAGGCTGGGGCTGGAAGTCTGCACTGGGGCCAGCCTTCTGCCCCTCTGCAGTACATCTACTTTCCCACAGTCCCCCCAAACTAACTTCAGTAAGCAGAACATGCGGGAAAGCCAGGATCCTCAATTACAAAATGAACACATGGCCAGGAATCACCAAATATCTGAGGAAAATTGAGGCCGTGAAAGAGAGGACAGATTTACTTATAAGGGATACCAATACTCAAGGAGACAGCATTCGTAGCCAGAGGGAGGCTTTGGAATATATATGGTTAATATTTTCTGAGGACTTTGAGAGAACGGTTGTCAAAGAGAAGAAATAACTAGAAGACTTGGAAATTAATTCTATGCACATAGAAAAAAAAAAAAGATGTGTTAACAATTTTAGAGTGGCCATTAAAATACAACGTATTAAAAGATTGAGTTTAATAGGCTGAGGAAAACAACGAAATCCAGTTACATACTGTTTGCAAGAGACGTGTCTAAAACTGTATAAAAACACTGAAAATCAAAGAATGAAAAAAAAATGTACCAAGCAAATGCTAACTGAAAAGAAAGCAGGTGTAGCAATTTAACACCATGTAGAATAGCATTTAAGGCAAAGGTCGCCAGGAGGGAAATTGGGAATAACACCTATTGATAATGTTACAGTTTTGTTGTTGTTGTCAAAAAGAAAAACCTTCACTGATAACACTGACTCACATAATGGGCGCAGCTGAAGAGCGAATAAGCGAGGAAAACCCCAGGAAGATGGTCAGCATCTGTAATTTCCTAACCTATATTTCTAAAGATACAGAAAGCAAAACCTGATAGGAATAGCGGGAGAAAGGAACAAGTTCGCAATCATCTTTCATAGGTTGCTCAGAAGTAAGCCAATAATATAAAAAGAAAAGGATAGAGAAGTGTCAGTGGGACCAGTAGACATACACAAGCTTGTGACAACAGTGCCCTTTTTGGGGGGGTCGAATATACATGGAACAGTCACAAAAATTCTGGACTCGGCCACCAATAAAAATGATCAATACATTTCGAACAGCAGGGAAAACAGTGCAAGCCATATTCCTTGATCATGCAGAAATGAACAAGAGAAGGATGGCAAATTGTAAAAATCTATTTGAAAATGCTATTAACTACGGAGTTGAAGAAACCAAAGTAGACAGGACAAACTATTTAGAAGGGAAAGAAAACCAGAGGACTCCATATGGCCAGGGAGGCACAGAGAGGGCAGGGTGGGGGTGGGGAGGAGGCGCTACTAGTTTAGACTGGGTGCTGGAGAGAGGACTCTGAACAGAAACCTGAAAGAAGTGGCGCAGCAGCTGTGTGCTAAGTAGGGGAGGGGTGTTTTAGGTTGAGGGAAGAGCAGGTGCAAAAGCCCTGTGGCAGGGATATGCCTGGTGGTGTTGAGGAACAGTGAGAAGGCCAGCGTGGCTGGAGCAGGCCGAGGGAGGAGAGAGCAGAACAGAGGGAACATTAAGGAAGTCCAGAGCCTGTACAGGATTGCAGGTCTCTTCTAGGACCTTGGCTTTTACTCTGAGTAGGATTAGAAGCCACTGGATAGTTTGGAGCCTGAACAGCTGACTGTGGTGGCCGGACTGATGGCAAGTGGTGGGGATAGTGCTGAGCACTTCGTGGATCCTCAGTCCCTGTTGGCTGGATCTGAAGTCTCCCTTCTGTTTGGTGTGTATGAGATAGGCCTGCCTGTAATGAATATGGAGGTCCTATTTCCACTTACCTAGAAGTGTAGAATTTTTAGAGGTTGACAACACCTTTGAGGTCTGGAGCAATCTCTTCCTTTAATCATTGATGAAATGAAAGGCCTCAGAGGTGAAGGGGCGTGTTTGGAGCCGCACACTAGATATGCTACATAGATCTCTCTTTTTTAAAAAAAAATTTTTTTTCAACGTTTATTTATTTTTGGGACAGAGAGAGACAGAGCATGAACAGGGGAGGGGCAGAGAGAGAGGGAGACACAGAATCGGAAACAGGCTCCAGGCTCCGAGCCATCAGCCCAGAGCCTGACGCGGGGCTCGAACTCACGGACCGCGAGATCGTGACCTGGCTGAAGTCGGACACTTAACCGACTGCGCCACCCAGGCGCCCCAGATCTCTCTTTTTTTAAATACATACTTTTGAATGTTTCTTTTTGGGAGGGAGCGAGAGCC